CACACACACACACACACACACACACACACACACACACACACACACACACACACACACACACACATGCACACACACACACGCACACCACACACATACTCAATGCAGACACGCATACAGTAGTGTGTGATGCCTATGCTTAGTGGCAGTCCTTAGTGCTAAGTGTTCCTGCTTGGTCATCTCTTTGGATCCTATCCTAGTCTATGAATGGATCTCAATGCTTCTGTCCTGTCATGCTCAGTGCTCCTCTACTGCTGAGTCCATACCTCTGGGCAGTCACGGGCCTGTTCAAAGGTTGCTGCTTCCCTCCTACTTCTTTGTGCTTAGTACTTGCCAACCGATGCTGACAACACACACACACACACACACACACACACACACACACACACACACACACACACACACACACACAAGCACAATCAACGTGGGCAGCCTTGTATGTAAGAGGCACAGTAAAAGGGGAGCTGCAAGAACAACTGGAAGGGGTACCCCAATGACAACCAAAAAACTGTCTACTTATAAATTTGCTTTAATATGTTGGACTGTCTCATCTCAAATGCTCTCGTTGTCTGCAATAGGACAAAGACTGCTTTGATTCTGAATCTGTTCATCTGGGGCAGTGTGTAGCCTCTGGGGACTGTGCTGCCCCCACCCCGAAATCGCTGCATGGTGAGAGTTCTACGGTAGAACTCTTTAGAACGCTGCAGGGTGGTTAGAACGCCATAGAACTCTGGAATTCTACCAGACACATAGTTTCCCTCCCTCGTATCTCAAGAAGCGTCTTGCATCCCCCCTCGACACCCTTGCCCTTGGGTGCAATGCATCTTGTGACCCTCGTGGACTATCCCCCTCCGTTCTTCACTTGCCTGTGGAGTCAAGTAAACCATCAATTTTCTTCGTAAGGACAGCAGCATCCATGGCCTTCCATGCAGTGCCAACTGAGGGCTAAGGGCCAGGGTTCACTGATGTTTCAAGCATGAACCTGGCTGTATACCGACCAGGAAAGGAAGAAGGTATCACCAGTAGGGCCTGACCGTAACCTCAGCATAAGGCGATATGGAAATGAAGGTAGACTGAGGACCATACTTGCTACGCTCAAAACGGTGTTTTGTCTCCATTCAAAGGGGAAGAAGAAGCCGTAGAATAGACTCGGAGGGGAGAGGCATGAGTGGAGTGAGTGGGTTCTCCCAACTCAGTCAAATCTTCTTCAGTTTGCTTGACTTGGAACAGGAGCTGTTGTGTCATGGTTGACTTTGTGAATTGTCTAGCAGAGCCTAGCACCTGGGTGGCCTGGTCAAGGGAGGTCTCGCCAAGGTCCCGGGCAATCCTGACACAAAATTGAGGAAAATGGGGAAAAAAGAAAAAAGTGTGCAAATGAATCCAGCAATAATAAAAGGTTCTACAGTTGTGTAGAATTCCAATACAAAGTTACAAACAACTTTTGGCTGATGTTCACTTCAAAGTTCTTTGCTAAGCTTGTTTTCTTCTTTTTTCTGTGCACACTAAGTGAGAAGGTCTGAGTTAATTCCAGTGTCTAGGGAATGAGTTGTTGTTTTTGAGGCAAAACTTGCCTCCACAGAAATATAAGGGAAAAGTAACAGGTCAAACTCCTTTCAAATATCATGTTGTAGGTGTGGCTTAGCAGATGGTCTGTGTCTTCTGTTCCCAGAAGCAGACCAGTAGATCCATCTGGCCAGACTTCTCCCTTCTCAACAAGAGATAGAAACCAGGCATGTGAATGGTACATTTGTGTGTGTATGTACGTGTGTGTGTGTGTGTGTGTGTGTGTGTGTGCGTGCTGTGTGTGTCTGCGAAGTGGTAACACGATGTATAGAGTCTGACACCTGCTCGGTGCTGGAAGGTGAAAAGGAGAAGTAACATAAGCTTCAAATAGAAGCCCCAGTAAACGGCAGCAGTAACTCTAACTGTCAACTTTAGGGCAGTTATAAAATCTGGCTATTTGCTGGAACCCTTGCAATTGTTACATACACCACCGAGAAATACGGCAGAAAGGCCACTGAGTGGGTAAGTAGAGTAAATCAGCAGGCTCGCTAGGAAGCGTCTCTGTATATGTGGGTGGGAGTGGGTGAGTGGGTGAGTGGGTGGGTGCATGCATGTCGGCATTGGTTCATGTGTGGGTGTGTGTGGGTGCATGAGGGCATTCTCAGATCGTCACCAGATAAAGAGAAATTTCATAAGCTTAATGATAAATATGTGCAGCTAAGATCCGCAATCATCGCACTTGCTATATACAACTAGAGAGACATCAGCAGACAGATACATTGTCATCTCTCTAGCATGCTTTAAGAGATCAAGAAAACAAAGGTGCAAATTTCTTGTCTGTGTGTGCGTGTGTGTGTGTGTGTGTGTGTGTGTGTGTGCCGGTGTGTTGGTTCTGTGTGTGTGGGTGCCACTGTGTGCGTGTGTGCGTGTGTGCGTGTGTGTGTGTGTGTGTGTGTGCCGATGTGTGTGCCGCTTGGTGTGTCCCTTGTGTGTGTTTGAGTGAGCACGTGGACGGTACTGTGCACAGATTGACAGTTGATGTTGTAACTTTGTCAGGGATTGAATGTGGGAGAGTGATCGTGGGTGTGTGGTATTGATCTTGATATTCCACCTGTGGCGGTGGTGTAACTGTTGATGCTCATGGGCTGATTGATTGAAGGAAGTGATGTCTTACTGTTAGTTGGTTGGAGGGGTTGGGATAATGACATCACCATATCATCATGCGGTCACTGTTTGTTTGACATTAGTGGTCATTCCGCTGCTGCTGCTGCAGATTGGTGCATTTCCAACGATCAAGCATTCAATTCTGTCGTGGACGTATCTGATGCCCCGCTCTTCGTATGAGACAGTTCTTAAATGCCTGCCCTTCACCCGACCGACCGAGCGCTGATGGATTCGAGAGTTCTGTCCACCGAGCAGGTCTTTTTCACACTGGAGGTGCAGAGTGCTGTTCCTTTCTCCCTGGAGATCCCTTTCCTCCCTGGCGTTTTCTCCTCCCCAAGTTGCTGCAATCTAGAGTGCTGTCCATTTCTCTCTGGAGAATCTTTTTCTCCCTGGCAGTTCTCCCCTGCCAGTCATTTAGAATTGATGGTGACGCACTTTGATGGCCTAGTAATGAATCCTGTCTGCAGCATGTTTCAAGGTGTGTGCAGGACAATGACAAGAGGATTGTGGGACTACGCATCTGTGGTAAGTGGCTCAGTCCTTGCATTGCACAGATATATGAAATCTTTAGGGATAGGCCTGATGGGATGAATTCCCTTGGCATCATGTTTTCTTGAGTACTCTACAAGTGAAAGTGAAGGAAGCAACGGTGTTGAGCCAGGCGGTGGCCATACCAGCTGTGTTTACCTAGAGTCTGTTGTTGAACCTGTGTGGAAGAACTTGCTGGGATGAAAACTCTCAACCAAGAAAATTCCAGAACGCCTTCAACTTTTGCGTTTTCCTGTGTGTGGGCACGAACTGTGGCATCCGAGTTTCCATCAGAGCCTGAAGAAGCGGGAATCGCAAGTGAGGAAGGGATGTAAAAAGTATCAGTCTGAGAAGCGGAGTGGAAGTGTGGAGGAACATGGTCTGATGTCCATGAACGACACAGGACGGGGGGAGCAGAGAAGCTTGGTGGCTGGAAAGTATTGCTCTTCTCAGTTAACGGCAGCAAAGCGAGGAGCCAGCAACATAGCGAGGAGCCACCAACAGGAGAGCTGTGTGAGGAGGGATGGTATGGAGACAGGAGGGGGAGTACGGAGGGGAAGAGACTACTAGGGTTTCAAGAGGGCCTAAGAGATACAGGAGAGCAAACAGAGTTGTAAGGACATATCAAAATGCATCGCAGCAGTAGAAACGCGGGCGGCAGTTTGTATGAGACGACATCAGATGCACAATGGTTGGTATAGGCAATCAGTATGACTTTCCTGTCGTCGTCAAAGGTGTTTGGCGTTGGAAAGCAAGCTGCCGTGGACCGCACCTGGCGTAATCAGCAACAATTATGTCAAGCGGCTACAAATGCAGCTGAAGTCTGCAGGTGACATATGAGGTACATTTGTCACGCGCCTGTACTCCGTTCTGAATCCATTTGGTGGAAAAACTATATCACTACCTGAGTGGTACATGGGCAGAAAGGTGGTGCTGCTGGTGTTGGTGGCTTCTGAGCTATCCTGTCAGTTTTTTTGAGGTGTTTAAGTGGCAACCTGGATGAAGGCTTTCATGCGCAATTGGGCATCATCATTGGCATGCTATCTATGCCTACCTTAGTCGGCTGTCATCAGGTGAAAACACTCGAAAGTTGCTAAGTTATTTTTGTGGTGCGTCGATGCTCAGGCTAATGAGAGCTAAGGTGGTTGGTACAAACCACTCTGCAGGTATTATCAGCAAAGATTCGGTTACACTCACTCATGTTTTGGACTTCGTTTGAATCCATCAGCAAGCAGTGTCACGAGTGACATGTCTGTGGCAGGCAGGAACTGACATTCTGGTTGAGGTCACTGTATGTTACTGGCCTGGTGGTCGATTGGTGTGCGATACTGCAAGTGTCAGCCTGTTGATACACCGGTGAGGAGTTGAAATCCGACCATCAGATTCCAGACATGATGTCGAGAGTGAAACGGTATTCACCAGTTAGCAGTAGCTGCTGCAGATCGCAGGGTTCGATCCCTAGACCCCAACCTTACCTGTGTACAGTACCTGTGTCGACCCGTAGAATTGAACCCGCGACCTGTGTATTTGTAATAGCTGATAGGTTGTCGTAGGGTCCATAGGTAGCATGGGTTCGATCTGTAGATCTGTCGGATAGGAGTCTTAGTCAGGTCAAGACACCGTAGCTGTAGTGTTATCGAAAGGTCAAGGTTGTAGCTGCTACAGTCCAGAAGGGTCAGAGTCGTAGCTGCTACAGTCACGAAAGGCCAAGTCTACAACCTTCCGGAAGGTCCCAGTAGTTGCCTTTCGTGAGTTGCCCACGTTTAAGCAGAGGCAAGTGGTCAAGTGGTGAGGCAAGTGGGCAAGTGGGGGAAGTCTACCCTGCTGAGTCAACAGTCCCAGTCCCCAGTCAGTCAAGCAAGTCCMGCACGGGACTGTGTGCACTTGGGGCAAGGGAAATGGGCCAGACCAACGACCTGCAGAAGTATAAATCAAGAGGCAGCGCCCAGCCATTCATTCATTCATGCGGAAGCCATGCGGAAGCGCTGTCTCAGCGTCTTGTGCGAGGAGGTCTGCAGTGAGCTCGGAGGACGCAGTGGGCGAGAGAGGAGGAGTTAGCATAGCGATAGGTTAGAGGCAGCCATAGCTGCCATATCTGTAGTTAGTGGGAAGAGTGTGTGTGCATGTGTGAGCGTTCAGAGTGACGTGTGTGGGATATCCAGGGTGATCCAGTGTGTGAACAGTGAGTTGTTTGGGCGCTAAGTCGCCATAGCCAGTTGAAAGTGAACTCGTACCTGGAAGCCATATCTCTGAGTTCTGAGTGGGCGCATGTCGCCAGTGTGCTGTGCTGCTGTTTACATACATGAAAAGTGTGAATAAGACGAGTCTGATTGCATGTGGCTACACCCTATTATTATGGTACTGGCCTGGTGGCCGATTGGTGTGTGATACTGCATGTGTGAACATGTTGATCCACAGGTGAGGAGTCGAAATCCAAGCATCAGATTCCAGCCAATGATAACGGGGGGCTACACCCTTCACAAGATAATTAGAACAAGAGGTCATGATGGATGCTGTCCGCTTATTGATCAGGCATGCTAGTTCCCATGGGAAAGAGCACACCATACTGTGACCCTGGGTGTTGTCGGCAAATTAACAGTTGAAGTTGCTACAGATATCTGCCATCGGATTGGATGAAGAAGATGGAGTTTGTGGCACCGAGCTATGGGCAAGCACTAGTTCAACCCGATTTGATATTCTTAGCGGGGGGCTACCACTGTTTTTTTTTTCAGAGGGGCAACCCCCTTGTCTTTGAACGACAAGAAACAGGTAACAATAAAGCAGTAGAAAAACTAGTTCAGCCAATGCGCTCAGGTGCAACCAGGATGGAGGTCATGTGTCCCCAACTGTTACATGCTGAAAGCCTACACACGGGCCCCTCACGGGACCCGAGGTTGGAATAGGGCCCCCAGGTCGCGTCACCACAACCTGAAGGCCCTATGGCATTTTTACTTGGGCCTGCATCAGAAAAACGCCAGCTTTAGATTATTTTTATAGTCTTTATTTTATTTATTTGCTG